AAATCTTGAAGTGACATGTGTCTGGCCATTCATTCCTGAAGCCACCACCCTTTGCTTTTCCAGGCACCATAAAGATGAAGTAGCTGGTGACATATTTGACATGCTGCTCACATTTACGGATTTTCTGGCTTTTAAAGAAATGTTTCTGGACTACAGAGCAGTAAGTTATGACTGCCTCTTTATCTAGCCACCCTGAACCATTTAGGAAGTTCCAGCTGGAAACCATCTCCCACGTTGCCCTGATCATTGCCCCTTAAAGCTGGCCAGTATCAGTAGAGCGGCTCACATAGTGTGACAGTGGAGGGAGCTGGTAACCACTGGCCAGACTATGTTTTGTTTATTTGTTTGTTTGTTTGTTTGTTTGTTTTGGCACTGGGGAATGAACCCAGGGGCCCTTGACCACTGAGCCGCATCCCCAGCCCTTTAGGAATTTTATTTAGAAACATGGTCTCCCTAAGTTGCTCAGGGCCTCACCAAGTTTCTGAGGCTGGCTTTGAACTCACAATCCTCCCACCTCAGCCTCCTGAGCTTCTGGGATTACAGGCCTGAACCGACTGGCCAGAGCCTTTTCATGTTTGGCTGAAACAGAACCTTAGAGACCCTAAATAAGCAGGAAAAAACCAAAGCACTGGTCTAATCCTGTCTTAATGTAGGCTCTTTATAAGAAAAATATTTTCCAGTGAAGAGGGGAGCATTTTTAAAGAGTGCCCAGGGCTGTAGTTGAGCAGAAATACAGAATAATCTGCTTTACATCCCTGTGCCCCCTCCCCGCCTCCCCCCACCCCCTCCCTGCACCACAGGCAGGGTCCTGAGCCAGAAAGGCTGCTTCCTGTTGCTTGCTCCTTGAAACTGTTTCCTTTTTCATGCAGGAAAAGGAAGGCCGGGGTCTGGACTTAAGCAGTGGCTTAGTGGTGACTTCATTGTGCAAATCATCCTCTATGCCAGCTTCCCAGAACAATCTGAGGCACTAGGTCCCATCTCCAGGCAATGAACAGGAACATTCTGGATGTCACCAGTCTGACAGACTCAGAGAGACTACAGCTAATGACGACAGAAGAGTCCATCTCAGAAAGACTCTGTTCTGCAGCCCTTGGTTTGTGTTAAGTATTGACAGGTCAGAAACAACATGACCGGACCTTTGGACCCACTTCTCCTGACAAGCCGTTTTGTATTAGTGTTCTTCCCCTCCCCACCTAGTCACCTCTCAGGTGCTTGGGTCAGGCCCCTCTGATCAGGCCCAGGTCAGCCATTCCACCTGGGAGCCCTTCCCTGGTACATATTGGTGTGCATAACCACAACCATGAACCCTCCTCTTCCCAGCAGGCTTTGCATGAGTCCTTTGTGCACTCACTGCTCTTTTTTACATGGGACATAGTTTCAGTCCTTCACCCTCAATGGGGTTTTTGTTTGGGAGTATTTATTTAGGGAGCTACTGGAGCCAGCTGCCTGTCCTGCGATTTCTGTGTCTCCTCTGATCCCAGCTTGTGCTGGCTGTGGGGTCAACCAAGAGAGATGTCCTTTACCTAAAAGCTTCGTGTGAAAGTCAACTCCCAGTCTTAACATACCTGGTCCTTGTAACACTGTCTTCTGTTGGTCCTGATATAGTCCCACTGTTTCTAGAAGTCTCTTTCAAGCATTATTTTTGAAAAATATTTTTATAGATGAATACTCAGGCAAACTTAGTGGATATGATCTTGGAACTTCCATGATTATCCACCTAAAGATCAAAGTATTATATGCTATGTGCTTTTTAGTCATTAGTGCTGTAAAGATAAAAATGCTTTTCATGTTGGTGCACCTGTTTCAGCAGCACCAGAGAATGTCTGCTGTGTGCTGGAACAGGCTGAAGYGACCCTGCGTCATGGCATGTCAGGTGTGCTGTGCATGTTGGCTTAAAACCTTTTCTGTGTAAGCCAGTTGTTTGGTTTTTTTATTAGGGTAGGTAAAGACTCTGCGATTTCTTCTTCCCGTCACAATCTCCTGCCAAGATGGTGTTCACTGGTCTAGCTCAGCATGAGGAGGAGGCAGTGGACGGCTTTACTGGTCGTGTGTCAGCTTTGGTTTACTACATTGTTTTGTTTAGTACCGACCAGAGAACTTATGTGTGTCACATCCCTGGAAAGAAGGAAAAAACAGTTCAATTCCCCTGTGTACTTTTTTTATTTTACTTTTTATAGTGAAAATMAGAATCTGTGCTGACTTTTCACTTATCTTCTGGTTTTAAAGGATGAGCTATAAGCTGTGTGTTTTTCTGTACTAATGTGTCATTTATTACTTTTTGTACCATGAGTAAAATTTGAGGTGTTTTGCAAGAACCATCATTCTAAACAAGTTGTGTCCTCTACTTATTTATTACTGATGTTTTGTAATACTGGGGGTCAGGCCCAGGGCCTCACACATGCCAGTCAAGGTGCTCTGCCACTGAGCTACATGCCCAGCCCCCATCCTCTCTTTAATGTGGCCACTGCCATCCTGTTATTATTGCTTTGGTCCTTCTAAACTAAAGGCACTCCCAGAACCAGCTTTTTAAATGCCACCTCTCCTGGGCCTGCTTTTCCTTCCTCCTCTTGTAAGCAGGACCACCCACCACCGGCCAGGCATGTCGGAAACCCGTGGTAGGATCTGGTGGTCCTAGCTGAGAAGAGCAAGTGGACAAGTACAGAGATGAAATCATGGAAAATGAGAAGAAAAGCAAACTGCTCTTTTCAGTCTTTCTACTCAGAAAAAAGCAAGCCCGTTGGAGCTTAAGTCAGCTTGCTGATTTCTTTTTAAATAAATTAGAAAAAAGTTAAAATAAACTAGAAATCGGTCCACATAGAAACTTAGACTGTGATGTCCCAATCCTCCTTGACGGGGCGCAGCCCTGGCCTGGAGTGAGAAGACTGACGTTCTGGTCCAGCCCCAGAAGAGGGCCACACACCCCTCTCCCTGAGGACTCCTCAGCCCTAGGTCAGCAGTCACCAAGCTGCAGTCTGTAATGTTCCCCCTGAGACAGGCTGTGTTTTAGAGTATCAGACCTGACAGGAGAGTGGACTGTAGCTGCCTAGTGTTTCATTTTCTCTAAGCTTCAAAATGGCTTGCTCTTCCTTAAAACCAAACTCATCTTACAGCTTCATCCTGAAATGATTATAATTTACTATTCAAACTCCAGCAACCTGAGAGCAGTATTCTACCAGGTCATCAAGCCTGACCCTCATCCCTCAGCCAGAGCTGCTGCTCCACAGCTGCTTGGACTAGCTACCTTTTAATTGTTGCCAATTTCTTTAAAAAGGGCCAAAAGGCACTTAGAAAAAGTCTTTGGCCTGGCACCCAGGGGATGTTCCCTTAAAATGTTAGGAAAATAAGCTCCAAAGGACCCAACTGCCATCCTTTCTGCCGTCCACCAGCTCTGAGTATGTAGCATGGCCAGCCACCACTACGTCCTCTCTGGGCTTCCTAAACTTTTGAGGTAGGTGACATTAAAATTACCAAACTTGGCGCATTTTTTTTTTTTTTTTTTTTTGGCTTTTGCAGTGTGGTCCTGGGGGTCAAACCCAGGCTCCACAAAGGCAGAGCAGCCTCTAGGACACTTTTAAGAATAAAAGGGCGGGCTATGAAACCTGTGCCCAGACAAAGGGCACAACCAGGACTGCTCCAGCAAAGCAGTCAGGAAGCATGGGCAGGGTCCCTTGGGACATTAGTTGGCAGTACTGAGTGGCTCCTCAGCTGGAGCTGCCCTGTGACAGGCACATCCTGGAACCTTGGCGCAGTCTTAACCTGCAGCTTCCTGGAGTTTGCATTGACAACCATGAAGCCCCGTTGTTTCCAAATAAGTTCTGTCTTTATTTTTGTAAAAAAAACAAAAGTCTCCACCAACCACATGACGACTCTGCAGGTGAGGTCCTACTTCCCTCCCTCTGCCATGTCCCATGTGCCTAATCAACAGCGTGGGGGGAAGTGGTCACAGGGTGTCAGCTTTTCCCAAAGGGAGGGCTTGGGCCAGGGAGGGCSCCTGGAGAGGTTTGTCATCAAGAAATCGCCTGGAACCTATTTGCGTTGAATAACCAGGACGCCTGGAATCAGCTCTTCCTATGTCTCCCAACAGGTGACATGTTGGCTTGGGGAAGGGGATCAGAATTGTGTTTTAAGGAGTCAGAACGGCTCTTGGGCTTGCTCACAGGTGTGGCTTGTTAGCTTACAGCTATGGCGCCGCGGGCCACCGGGCTGGAGCCTGTTAGTGCAGTTAGTGCTGGTGTGCAGGGTGGGCCCAGCTGGCCTCGCACGCTGAAGTCCTCCGAAGACAAGGCGAGACAGCGAGAGCCCCTCATCCCCCGTCACCTTCTGCTGAATAAGGGGGATGGGGAGGAGCTCAGCCGTGGGCTCTTGCCAGCCACATGTCAACGAGGGCCTGTTCCCTAGGAGTGCTGGGAGCACTTGGTCCCTGGGCAGGGAGAGCGGCTAGCACAGCCCCACCAGGCGACTCGCGCAGGGCTCCAGGCTCAGGTCTGCTGATGGCCCTGTACTGCGACCCAGCGGCAGCTCTGCCAGCCAGGGCAGGCCAAGGCACAAGGGTCTAGGCGTAGCCACCAGCCACCTGACTGGTAGCTGCGTTGCTGCCCACTCCTCGCCAGGCCTGGAAGCTGAAGAAGGCGCTGGCTCCGTAGGCGATCATCACCAGACTGGCAAAGAACTGCAGGGAGAAAGGCGGTAGGTGTCCGGTCAGCACCGCACTGAGAGCTGGGGGGTGACCATGACACCAGCACATGGGTTTCCTAGGATGCCCCCTCATCCAACCAAGCAAGTCTGGCAGCCATGGCCCCTCGTACTTAGGCCCATTGGACAGCCGGGGCAGGGGGCTTCGGAGCCATGGTCTGGAGAGGCCAACAGGCACTCAAGCATAGGAAAAGGTCATGTCAGATGGGGCTCTGGCCACCACGAACCTCGACCTGCCCGGAGTGACTGTGAGGGAGGGCCACTGGACACCTAGCCAGGCATTTAGTTTTAAAAAGGTAACATTCAGGGCTGGGGATGTGGCTCAAGCGGTAGCGCGCTCGCCTGGCATGCGTGCGGCCCGGGTTCCATCCTCAGCACCACATACCAACAAAGATGTTGTGTCCGCCGAGAACTAAAAAATAAATATTAAAAATTCTCTCTCTCCTCTCTCACTCTCTCTTTAAAAAAAAAAGGTAACATTCAGGTGGGTGGTGGAGCTCAGTGGTAGCGTGCTTGCCCAGCACGCATGAGGCCCTGGCTCTGAGACCCAGCACCGAGGTGTGTGTGTGGGGGGGTACATTCAAAGCTCCCCCAGGGGACGTGGCTCAGTGGCTAAGCACCTCTGGGTTCAACTCCTGCATACCAACAAACAAAAAGCCTCGTGGAAATTTTCTGGATCCAATTCATACCTCTATGTTTGCACCTGTGTCTGCGTTCAGACGCTCCACAGGTGTGGCCAGGTTCACTGATTGCAAAACCACCCTCACCAGGAAGAGTGAGGACACGGAAGGGCTGCTCTATGTTGGACATGACCATGACCCCAGGCAGGCCCCTTAACTTCCCAGAGCCAATGTGTCCTTGTCTGTGAAAAGGGTTGGGGAGGCCCTTCCTCTTCCTCAGGGCCTTGCCGAGTGGAGCATGACAGGTGTGCAGGTCTCTGTGGTTCACTCTACCAGCCACCAGACGTGGGGCCTGAGTTTGGCCTTCCCGTAACATCCCCAGGTACGGCTGAAACCCAAGGGCAGAGGGTCTTGAGTTCTCAGTCCATTCTCCAAGGGAGCCTGTGACCCTAATCAGGATGGCATGACTGATTTTCAGCAGAGTTCCACAGTGAATCAAAGCTGCCACTGGTCACCACAAACCGTTCCCAAGCATCTGTTGAACCCAGGGCCTTGAACATGCTCGGCGAGTGCCCACCAACTCTACCACTGAACGCCACCAGCCCCTTGTTCCTCAAGGTCCTGGAGTTCATTAAGGAAGCCTGAAGGCAGCCTGGCTCTTCATGGGACCCTCTGAGATGTAGGTGGTAGATACTTAGGTGGTGGCCGGTGCCTGGCCTCAGACCCAGGGAGCTCTGTGGAGGAGGGACCTTGGCTATAGACTGCTGGGGGGGACCCTAAGGGACATACTCACAGAGGCAGCTGCACGCTGGTTGTATGGCCGGGAGCCCTTCAAGGAAGTCTGGTCAACTGCTGCAGAGCAGGTGATGAAGGCRGTGACATAGAGAACGGTGGCAGTCACGTTGAAGATCATTAACTGGGGGAGGGGAGAAAGGCTTAGGACACACGGAGGGAACCTCCTGGCTCCCAGGGGGCACACCCCCAGGGTGGGATGGAAGAATGTGGGCCTGTCCTATGAAAAGGGCCTCAAGGGTCACAGTCCCCATGGGGTCAACCTGGAGGCCATCAGAGCAAGCAGCATAGAACAGCCCTAAGGCTGAGGGAGGGAATGGTCAAGAGGCCCCAGGTGACCAGGCCAGGGCAGGCCAAGCCACAGAGCCACAGGCAAAACCCTTCCCCATGCAGCACGGCCCAACCGTGACCCAGCTCCTGAGTCCCGAGGAGAGCCACTTCTCCACGTGGGCTCAGGGCCAAGCCCAGGCCCTCCCTGGTGCCACTTCAGGGCTTAGCCCTGTGGCTGGCCAGTCACACYAGTACCTTTTGGCAGTACTGAGGATTGAACCGAGGTCCTTACTACGCATGCCAGGAAAGCAGGCTACAAACTGAGATACACCCCAAGTCCATGGATGGGGATCTACTGCTCTCTCTTGGCCACATGCTAGGCTGAAGGCCCAGAACAGACCCAGAYGCTCCTGGTAGAATATTCTTCCAGATGGCACGAGGGGGCCTGGGCTGACTGCAGCCAGGTCTCAGTCCCACATCCCAAATGCTTGGACCCTAGGGCCAGTTACATCTTCAAACTAATAGTCCTCAATCATCAGGTTTGTCCCATTTATTTTTTAAAATTTATCCACACTTTAAAATTAGATTTCATTTGAAAACTTAAATTTTATATAAAATGTTGATAGGATCTCGGGGCTGAGGACAGAGCTCAGTGGTAGAGCACTTGCTTAGATGGGCAAGGGTAGKGTCCCCTCTCTTACACTGCCAGGAACCAAAACAATCTCAGAATATCAGGGTCCAGCCCAGTAATGGGGGATCTGCGTGGACAGATATGTATGTGGGGTTCCCAGAACCTCCTGAGCCACACCCCCTGCCTTTTTTGTATTTAGAGACAGGGTCTTACTGAGTTGCTTAGGGCTTCCCTAAGTTACTGAGGCTGGCTTTGAACTTTGAGATCCTCCTGCCTCAGCCTCCASAGCTGCTAGGATTACCGGCGTGGGCCACTGTGCCCAGCTCATTCACATATCTTGCTTGGCCATGTAGCCCCATCCCAGGGAATCCCTATAAAAGGTCCAAGAACACAGAAATAGTGCCTGCCTTAGCGGCTCCCGGGGCATGGGGCAGGGGGCTGGGACACACTGCAAGCCCAGCGACCATGGCAAAGCCTGCCTAGCTCCTGCCTGTGATGTCAGGCGCTGACAAGCCCATTCTGTCCCTAGCATGACTCACGTTTCCTCAGTTGAGAAGTCATTGAATTGCAAACAATGCTGCCTAGTCCCAGCTGCGGTCCTACCCTCACGTGCCTGGCTCACTGAAAGCCTYGGACCCCAGCTGCAGGGGTTTTCTGGGTCAGAGAAGAAAAAACCCAGCAGCTTGCTCTGTGTCTGGCCAGGGTACTTCCTACGGCTGCTCTCGGGGGGCCTGGGGGGATGTGCTAAGACTGACCTCGGCAAACCTGGGACACCCGCCTGATCTCTGGGTGGCTGAGCTGTCTGCTGGCAGCGGTGTCTGGCTGTCCCACACCTTCCACCCGCCACCCTCCACACCCCAGCCTGTGCAGTTCTCACTTCGGGCCCAGCCCGAGGCTGACCGAGCCGCCCACCCCAGCTGAGATTCTGACCATCCTCAAAAAGGAAAAATATTTCAATTCCAAGTGGCCTCTTGTGACGACCCCATGAGACAGACAGCCTCTTTACCCCTTTCCCAGGACAAGGTCAAGGTGGCTTTCAGAAAACTGGACACCTGAGCCGTCCACCTCCCTCCCAACCCGCTCTGCAGGCCAGCTGAGAGTCAGTAAGGACATCGACCCTGCTGCTGCTCATTTAGAGAAGGCCACATGGTCAGTCCTGTCATGGCCACTCCCAGAGGCAGAGGTGGGAGCCCAGAGCCACCCTCAGGGCCCCCACCCAGACTTACCACGAGTGGCCAGGGCACCATGTACAACTTCAGGTGCAGCTGAAACAGGTAGAGGACGAAGAAGACGATTGTCACCAGCCAGAGGAAGACAGCGACGAACATCACCCAGCCGTAGGCCGGGTACAGGTGGTACGGGGTGTCGGCAATCAGGGCCCACACCAGCAGCCCCAGCACCTGGGGGGCAAGACAGGGCCAATGCGTCCAAGCCCCCACCACTCCGGCTGGAGGCCACAGACCAGGTCCCCAGGCCGTGGCCTTATTTCTCATCTAGTCAAGAATACTCATTTGGCTCCTGCGGTCACCTGTGCCGGGTCACTCGTACTTCTTTTCAGTCCTCATGCCGTGGGTGACACTGGCATCTCAGCAGAAGATGATAAGGACTCCAAGACACCTTGCCTACTGCGTCTGGGTTCCAGAACCCTCCTCTGTGCTGTCCTATCCCCCACCCGGGCACCCACCACCTAAGACCACAGTAACGTCACTTTCCCTAGACTGAGCTCCCTGGGGTGGGACAATGGCTGTGCTGGAGCTGGGTCACAACTCCCAGCAGAGGACGGGCCTGCGAGGGGCTCAGGAAAAACTGCTGAGAGAACATCGGGGCATGAGCTCTGAGAGATGGCCAGCCACTCAGTCTCCTGCATCCCCCTCCCGGCTAGTCCCAGCACAGAACATCACCAGGGCCTCTAGATGGCCTCCAGCCGTAACACCTCCCCTGCCCCCAACTCTCCCAATTGCCCTTCCCTACAGGTGTCACCATCCCTGTCTTGACAGAGGACAGGGCCTCAGGGAAGCCAAAGGACCCTTTGTCCTTCTGGTGCGTCAGGATGGGCCTGAGCACCCCAGGACGGTGGTGCGTGCTGTGCCAGGTACTGAGTCAATACCTGGCTTAAGCCCCGCCCCTGACCACTGTGTGACCTTGGGCAAGCTGGTAGCCTCTCCRTGCTTGGATCAGCTCACTTTTACACGTGGGTTCACATATGTAAACGGGACCAGAGGATGTTTGCTGGTGTTCCAGAAGAGGCCAAGGCCCGCTGACCACACAACCCCAGCCCTCCGGGCACGGGGAGTTCTACCTGGCCAGGTGTGCCGACTCACCCAGGGGAGCCGTCTGGGGCACTGGCACTGTGGCCCAGCAGAGGGCCTGTTCTGAGGCAGGGCCCAGGAGGTCCACACACGTGGACGTCAGGCAAGGTCTCATGTGTGGCCAGGCCCGGCCTCCCTCTCCTTCCCACTCTTCTAGGCTGGCTGAGAATGTCTAGGTTGGCACATCCTCCCTTCTCCAAGAGGACAGTCTCTGGAACCCCCGGCCACCAAGGGGACAGGAGAGTCTTCTGTGGGGCTCTGGGAAAGGCTCCTGTGCTGGTCAGACACAGGCAGGGGCTGTCCCTGCTCTCCCCTGGACAGTGGGCAGGCACACGGCACCAGCCCTGGGGAGCTGGGTCCCAGAGAAGTGTGCCAGGAGCAAGCCCATCTCCGGCCACTGGGCTTTGGAGCCCATCTCCCTGGCTGCTCACACTGCCCAGGGGCTGCTGACGCTCACCTGAAGGCTCCTGACCCAGAGCCCCGCCAGAGCTGCGGCGCCTGCCAGGGACCCCACCCCGAGGCACCCCAAGGACCAGCGGGAGATTTCTGCCGGGGACCCTACACATGGGAGGTCAGACAGGACTGGCTGCAGCCGAGCTGGCCCCGAGGCCAGTGCCCCTTTGGGAACTGCCCTTCTCTCTCGCAGTGGGAGCGCGGCCTCCCAGAGAAGCGGAAGGTGGAAAGCTGGGCCTGGGCGCCAGAGGCTGGGCCTCAAACCCCTGCTGTKCGGTGTGACATGGGCCAGCACCTCCCTCCTGGTGGACACTCCACCTGGAAAATTCCAGAGAGGTCTGCCCAGCACTCACACCCGAGGGACGCGTTGGTGCCCTGTAGCGTCTCCACTGCCCACTGGTCAGCACACGCTCTTAGGAAAGAACGGCCTCCTGCGCTCATCCATGAAGGGGTCAGAAAGTGTCCCTGCCCAGCCCTGCTGGGTGGTACGGAGGGAGACAGGTAGCAACCTGCGGGTTGCTCCTGCTCCTGCCCCAATGCCCAAGGAAGGCCCACGGAGTCTCTCCCCTGGGCGCTCTGCACCCCGTCTCCTGGTGCTGGGGAGCTGCGGGGATCCTGCCAGCCTCAGCTGCAGGACCTCCATAAGCAACGGTAACGGAGGGGTGGCCGCGGGGCCCTCTTTACACAGTAGTAGGGCCTTCCTCACCTGTCACCCTGGRGACAGAGCCCTCCTCAGGGAGGCCAAGGGCAGTCTGTCTCCAAACAGCATCCCCTTAACCTCCATCTTTAGTCACGCTGCCTGAAGCAGACACAGAGGGGAGGCAGGGAGACCCAGCGCTGGGGAGGCCACCGTTCTGAGGAGGACAGACACTCTTGAAGCAGCACGCTCGGGCGGCCCCTTCTCCACGTGAGAACTGGGCACACCAAGGACAATTAGCTTTTATTTAAAGCAAGTTCCTACGGGCCCCGAAGGTCACTGTGTGGCCACACTCCAGCTGTCTCAAAGGAAGTTAGACAATGCAGAGAACTGAAAACCCAGAGAAGCCCAATTCGTTTCCACACAGCAAGGCCCTGAGCAACTTCGTCAAACCCTGTCTTAAAATAATAATAATAATAATAATAATAATAATAATAATAATAATAATAAAAAGGGCTCAGTGGTTAAGCATGCCTGGTTCAATTCCTGTACCCCTGTAGGCCTCCAGCGCCATCTTGTCACCATCAGCCTCCTCACCGGGACCTCCCAGGGCCCTGCGGCTGTGCCAGCCTGGGGAGTGTCTCATTCTCTACAAAGATTCCCACCGTCAACTTACGTCTGAGTCTTCTGTTGTCCCCATTTTCCAATCAGAAGCTCAGAAGGAAAGCTGCCTGTGGTCACCGTGGGGGAAAGCCAGGGTGGTTGGAACCCAGCTCTGTCCCTCCCTGGACCCTGTCATACTGTGTTTCTGAGCCATGTGTAAAACCTGGGGGCACTTCAGCCAGCTCAAGGGCAGGGCCGTCCCTGCCCTGCCCCGTCCTGGTCCTGTGCAGCGYGCCGGCCCCACCCCTGTTTTCCAGATCAGCAAAGATGAGGCAGTGGATAAGCCGAGGGAATGTCTGCTGTTCCTCCCGCCCAGCTGGCGCCTGGCCAGAGAGCCACCTCAGTTTGTCCTAGAACAAGGAAGGTCCACTCCTGCATGGGAACCTGACAGACTGGTCTCTCCTGGTCCCTGAGTCCCTAGCAGAGGACCCAGGGAGACCCTGCTCGGGACAGAGGAGGTCGCAGGCAGGGCACCCTCACACCTGCTGACCACTTCGCTGGCCAGGTGGTCCTCCAGGGGAGCTGAGCCCCAGGCCACAATTCCAGAAGCTCCCAGTCTCCCTGGACCCCCAGGTGGGACCACAGAACCCCCTCCTGCTGGGGCAAGGACCCACTGTCTTGTGGTGGGATTCACCCCACAAGAGGAAGGGCCCTGGAGGCTGGAAGCTTAAGGCAGGGGGAGGCGGAAGGCCCTGACTCTGCCCCTGCCCCAGGGCCTCGCCCAGGCCCCTCCGCCCAGAGCGCTGCTCTCCCACCCAACACCCCCCCCAGGCCTCTCGGTGTGTGCTCTCCTGGGGTCCATCCACACGGCTGGTTCCTGTTGGGCCCCGGTGGCAGCCTGGGCTGCCCTGCTCCCCCGAAGCTGGCACAGCCAGACACACCCCAAGAAGTGAAGTGCAGGTGGGGACATGCAAGGGCTGTGGGAAATCCCAGCTGACAGCCAGGCTTGGTGACACACAACTGCAACCCTACACGGCCACTGGGAGGCTGAGGCAGGAAGACCACAAGCTCAAGGCCAGCCTCAGCCACGGAGACAGGCCCTGAGCAGCTGAGTGAGACCCTGTCTTAAAATAAAAAATATAATAATAAAATAAAGAGGGCTCAGTGGGTCAGCATTCCTGGGTCCAGTTCCTGGTACCAAAAAATGGGTCATGGGCCTGGGGCTGGGGCTCAGCGGTAACGCACTTGCCTGGCGCGAGTGAGGCACTGGGTTGGATTCCCGGCACCACATGTAAATAAATAAAATAAAGGTCCATCAACAGCTAAAAAGTATATTTTTTTTAAAAAAGGGGGGGACAGCAGTGGGGAGGGGGCATGGGGTCACTGATGCCATTTCAGATAAAGGGTCAAGGATGATTTCCCTGGCAAGGTGACATGTGGGCAAAGACCAAGGAGGTGAGGGAGGGGAGACATGAGGGAGCCATGGGGGTCCCTGGGAAAGGGTAGGACAGGGCCCTGTGTGGGTGACTGTCACCTCTGTGTCCGTCTGTCCCCGAGTTTCTCTGTAGGTATACCAGCATCACACACCCACACACACACACACACACACACCCACACACACGCCACGTCTCCTCCTCCCCCTCCTTCCAAGTTCCCTGGAGACCCTGCAGTGTCCCCTGAGAGAGGCTCCGAGGGTAAACAGAGAACCCTCTGGAGCTCTGGGGGCGGGGGACCTTTTTTTTCTCCCTGAAAATCTGAAGAATTTGGATTCAGAAACTTTTCTTTAAACGAGAACTACCACGTCAAAAAGGACACGTCCCAGAACCTCCTGCTGCCCAAGAACTTGGAACCAACGCGCAACACAGATGGTTTTTGTTGAAACCACCTACGCGGCCAGAAAAGCGACACCCGTTACAAACGCCTGGCCCAAGAGCCATTCCTCCSGCCAGCCACCGTCCTCAGAGGCTGTCCTGGTGACTTGGGGACAGGTGCCCTTCCATGACTCTGGGGGAGGTCCTCCCGGTTGTCCTGAGCAGCGTGTGGAATGGCCGTTCAGTGGCCTGCGGCAGTCCTAGCCTCGGCCTGATGTGGAGGTGGAGACTTTGCAGAGGTCACCGACCTCCTGTGAGGTCACACTGAATCAGGATGAGCTCTCATCCAATGACCGTGTTCTTATAAGAACCAGGAAACTGGGGCCAGGGGCCGTGGGGCCGGCCTGTAATCCCAGCCACTCAGGAGGCTGAGGCAGGAGGAGGGCAAGTTCAAGGCCAGCCTGGGCAACTTAGCAAGACCCTGCCTCCAGATTTTTTTTTAAATGGCTGGGGTTATGGCTCAGTGGTAGAGCACTCGGGTTCAATCCCCAGTACACACATACACACACGTGTGTGCAAACACACAC